CATTTACTATGTTGCTCGAAAGGTAATAGATTTGACTGTTGAGTATTTGTTTAATGGATGATTAAAAAATTGAAAAAAATATTATAAAGGAGTGAAAGGGGGTGTGAAAAAAAGGTACACTCGCGGGTTAGTGTTTTTGAGTTTTTTATTTCTGCAAAAAATTGAAAAAATATTTAATAAAAAGTTCATTTTATTTGATAAATTCTGAGTTGTTTTTTGGTTATTTTGGCTTCAACGAACAGTTTCGAAGTCAATCTTTCTTGCTCCTCCTTTTATCATTCGGCAAATCAAGCCTATACTTTACATAAAAACAACAAACTAATTTCAATTACAAACATCTGCATCTTGAAAAAGTCGAAAAAACTCTTGTAAACCTTGTTTTTTGAATCAAATCGAAAAAAAGGAAAAAAATAAACTATACAAAAAACCATAATCATATTATCATTTTACTATTAAATTATCAAAAGCGGGTTTTTTACACCCTTTTATGTCGCAGGTCTTTACTTAAAAATATATATGGCCAGAAGTGCTAAATATAGAAATAAAAGTTCTTATGTCTTTTGATTTGCTGTTACTATGGATGAGTGTTTTTAATGTGAACATATTTACAAGCCAATATTTTATTTCTTTATATTATATTGCAAATTTTAAATCTATTGGAAGTTGTTCATCACAAAGTAAAGATAGTATAAACCAAGAATATGATATCATCTAAAAATTTTGTGGCAAATTCTAAGTGAAAGAATACAAATAAAAAGAGTTGTTGCAGAGTTTCCCAAAGTAATCAAAAAAACTGTAGCAGATTTGATTTATTTTTGGTTCTTCCAAGCCTTCTCAAAATTGTTAAATAAATTAAAGATCAAAACATCAAAAACATATTTCCTTGTTTTGCCTTTGAACAAAATAATAATACAAAAATAAACCTAAAGTTTTATTTTAGATAACTATTTAAACTAAATATTAATCATTAAAAAATAGTTTTTCTGTTTTATATGAAACTACTATAAAATATATGTAATTAAATTAATTATTTAACTAATGTAAAAATAAAAAATTTTAATTTATTGGTAGAATAATAAGCATAAAAATCCCGATTTTGTATGTACAAAAATTGTAAAATATTTTGAATTTCAAAACATTTAAATTTAAATAAAAACACCAAATTCGCTTAAAAACCACTTATTGCCAAACTAAATTACAAAAATGTTTTTTTATATTTAAATTATATATAATAAAAACACATTTGAGAATAATTAAAACAACTAAGATATACCATTGAAAATAAAAAAAACTATGTATATAATAACAATTATTAAAAATTTAAATGAGTTTTTTAATCTTTTTAAATATGCCATTTGAAAAACAATATAATTGTAAATATAAAAATACAACAACAAATTACTTTTTTTTAATAAAATGAAAACCAATTATGTTAATTGTTTTAATTTATAATATATAGTTTTAAACGAGACCAGAATTGTGATTGCAATAATCATTGTTGCTTAATTGTAATAATAAATTATAGAAAATATAATTATAATTGTAATTTGTGCTATAAAAGAACGAACTGAGAACAAATATAAACAACATAGTTGACATGAATAAAAAACCTTTCAAAATTCGAGAAAGGTTTTGATGTTGGCCTACCGGCCCACAATAAAGTACACGATGTTGTACGCGTGGGCTGTGGTACTTAGTTGATTCTTGAGTTGCCAATCCTGTAATTGATTTGTTTTTTATCTGTTGCGTTAAAATTGGTATAATAATAATTTAATAAATTAATTGGTTATTTATTTTAGAAATAATAATAAAATTGTAGCTCACATGCCCGTTCTTACAGTTAAATTTACTCAAATTTACATCATTTTTTGTTTAAACAATCCAACAACATTTTAAATTGATTGGTTGTTTTTGTGGGTATTATTATTAGGATTACCACTTATTAATAGGAATTTCGCTCATTTTTATTTTTAAATCAATTAATAAAAAAACAGAATTTACCAACAAACTTTTTTTCAATGATTTTTTTAATAAAATTTCTTTTGATATGACAAAAACAAAAAATTATCAAATCTGCTACCGTTTTTAGACACTTGGGAAACTCTGACTTTTGAATTCAAGTAAAAAAACACAAAATATAAAAACTAATCAATATAAACTGTATTTCAAAACTCTGTACCGTTTCCAAAATTTATATAAACCCTTTGTCCTAGTTTCCCGTTATTTACTATTTTTTATTTGTTTTATTTTTTATTTTCCTTTTTGTTGAACCAACAACGGTACACAATTTAAAACACTAAAAAACCAATACAGTTTCAATTATTGAACAAAAAATCGGGAAATCACCCAAATGTTGGGTAAATCTTCCCCGATTTTCTAGGTTCGTTATTTGGTCAGTGGTTTATTTTGTAACTAAACGTGAGTAAACAACCCATTTCTAACAAACACAAGATAAACAATAATATCACAATAAACAAACGATGTAATGAAGGACTTTATTGCATCAAATGATACAACACTTAAATTAATAATAAGTTTCTATTCATTTTAACAATTAAAAAAGTAATCGATAACATAAAACAAACATTTAAACAATCAATGTTATTAATCAAAACAGTCTTAAATAAAATAAACAGTTCAAAAATTAAAAAACTTTTCAATTGTATTGTCTTAACCTATTTATCTTCTCTCAATGCTTGTTTTACTCATTAGTACTTTTCATTTTTATCCAAAACACGACTTGGTGATTCTGTAAACATGGACATTTAATTATAAAGTTGTGTTTTATGTTTTTGGCAAAATTTGTGTTATGGTAATTAAAATTTTAATCCCAAGTTTGTTTTTTATATTTTTCAAGTAAATTTTTGGTGGAAGATTTATTTGTCAAGTAAAATTTAAAAAAGTCAGGTTCGTTATTTTGTTTTTTTTTGAGTAAATATTTATAACAAAAAATGAGGAT